GACAGCTGGATATCTAAATTTATGTGCCTTAATGTGCGAGTTGAATCCCACCCCAAATGTCAAAGACTCCTCATTTTCACGAGAGCAGGTCACTAGAGGACAGATTTTCAAGAAAGCAGCTCCTATTTTGGCATCCGTTGAGCTGCCAAACTTTCAAATGTGATCAAAGGGCATGCTCAGGCCCTCTGAAAGAAATGGGAGCTGACCAGGTGACACTAACTATATCTGCTCCACTACCTTCTCATACCCTATCTCCTCCGTACAAAAGTGGAGGTAAAATAGAGTCTGAACACAGAGTCACCAACCTGGGAAGGCTCAAACACAGGAGTCTGGGGTATGCACAATCACTCTGCACATTCACAACACCTGGGACACAACCACACACGGTCCAGTATGTGACACTCGCAAGCCCGGTAGATCATCAGTTATGCAATAACGCTGACAAAGATATGCTAACCATTCCTTTTCCCCGCATCCTTGTCTCCCATATTTATTTCCCTCAGAAATAAAGTGTTTTTGGAGCAAGATACAAACTGGTGTATCCCAAGGAGTTAACCTAATGCTTGGCTCCCACTTTCCTTTCTTTTATCAGTTGTGATCTGGACCCTGGCGGTATCTCCTATTACCTCCTATCTAGGGTTTTGTTTGCATTCTAAGTATCGCTATCATAAAGTTAATTCTTTTAAATCTTCCTCTCAAATTTTACTTCTCCTCAGCCACCCGGGAGAATTTCCTCTTCCTGTTTGGGGCATGCATCTCTGGATGTGACTGGGAGGAAACATCCTTCCCTCTTGGGCAATGGGGCTCTTTTCTAAGAGAGCGCTAGACTGGTTTATGCATGTTTTCCAGGACATGACTATTTTACTACATAACAGTCCTATGATTTATGTCCTTATACTGGAAGCTTGAGCCTTAATTTACTTCTTTATTTCATTACTTTTGGCTTTGCAAATAGAAAAACAGGGGGAAAAAAATCCCTGAATCTTGGCTATGGGATACCCTGGAGTGTATTAATATATGCTGGGGTTGAGGAGCTATTGGAGGAAGGAGTCGAAGCCCAGGGGCAACCCCAGCATCGCATTGTGCAATGTGTTATTTCAGTCTCTCTGGAGACCTGTAATTGCATATGTCGAAGAAACTTTAAGGTAACCAGTGTACAGAGTAATGGCTACAGAAGACCAACTGACAGAACACATTGAACCAATTTTCTTCCAGCCTCCCCCAAATTTTCTTTAAAAGCTTCCCCCTTCAATCTGGGCAGCAGAGGAGGAGAAAAAGTGGTGGTCAGCACAGAAACTTTGCCCCTTTCTGGTTCTCTCTTTTCCCTCAGCCCAAACATCACTGAACTTTCCGCTGTACCCACCATGGTAGGCACCAACAGCCAATTGCAAATAGACATCCTTGCTTGGCGGAGATTATGTTCCAAAACGATAAAACAAGAGACTATTATTCTCCTGTTACTGCCATGCTGACAGGCAACTTGGATTTTTAAAAAACTTTTTCACCAGCACTTCTAGCAAGCTTCGCAGAGTCTGCAGAGCACAAGGCGTTTATTTCTCTCAAGCAAAGTTTTAAAGGAGCTGATTTTGTCTGCACTGATTTTGGTTGCTTGCTGCGAGACGCCTTGAAAGCATGGCCTGGTTTTCAGTAATTTGCCTTCTAATACTCAAACCTAACTTAACCTTGCTCACTTTTTAGAATATCTTATGAGCTCCCACACAGTCTATAATGGGATTTTCCCCATAGCTCCCTGCAGAACGCTACTCTGCAGTGATTTGGAGGAGCGAAAAAAGAGGGAGTGGAAGGAGAGAGGAAAAGGAAGCTATTTTGAGCACAAAGCCTCCAGGCAGATGTAGCTTGTGGAACTATCACATTCAGCCCTAGTTATTGGAGCAAATCAATACTAATTATTTTAAGGCTGAGGCCTTATGCTGGGGCTTCTCGGAGTATTCTTGGTGATCTTTTATTGCTTCTTTTGTGAATTTACAGTGTGAGCCTTCATCATAGTGTACAGTGCAAGGCTGCTATAAAGCAAAAGAACATCCTGCTCCTTAGTCTCACACTGCTTTCCAGCACCCACGTACAGCCGCTCCCTGCAGGAGGGCCTGTGGATGCAAAGGAAGGACAGATTTCATGCTGTGAGTCCCTTGTGGGCCTGGAGGATCCCAAAGAACTCCTCTCCCTCAAGGAGAAGACCATGTTTATGCTCTTTGCTTTAGGAGACAAGAAGATATCCTCATGGCCCCTTCAAGCAGCCTCAGACAGGTGTGAGGAGGCAAAGGAGCTGGCAATCCACTAAACGAAACCTGATTCCGTCTTGAAGCATGCAGGAAGACGGTGCATTCCTGAATCGGCCACGTTTCCACCCAGGCCAGTACAGCTGAGGGTTCATTTCACCTTCCACGCAGGAGGAACACGCTTCACCCTCCTCACGGAGGAACCGTTCCTCAGGCATAGCCAAACTCACTTGGAGAAAACAGCTCATGTAGTTATCGACCATAGTATAAGAGGTTGGGATGCTCTCCAATGTCCAAAGCCTCCCTCCAACCAATTCAACACTGTTTACTGTGTCTCTGTTAATATTCTAGGTTAATTGCAAGCTCATATCTGACAAATAACTACCTTAAACTCTCAGCCCAGTGGCTACCCAGCCCAAACCCGAGAGCTTCCCCATGACGAAGGCTGATGCTTCACCTCCCAGTCCTGTTCAGCGCAGTCTCCGTGGTGTTTGGTGTTCCCTTGTACCAGCAGTCACACCACAACACGGATATGCAGCACCTACCCCACAGCTTGTGTTCCTGCCTCCTACCGCTTCTGCCTCCCTCCTGCCTCCCTGAGCTCTCTGCTGAGTTCCGTCAAACGAAGTTCAGAAATGCGGTCGCTCTGCAGGCCGATTCCTGCGAGGGTCCTGCTTTACACGAAGGGAGGGAGGGCAGGCTGCATCCCCGTACCCTGCTTAAGAAATCATGTGTACAACTCAGGCAGCTTTGATGCATGACACAGGTCTGGGAAGGGCAAGGGTAACCAGGAGGTCAACAATAAAAATCAGCGCAACGATATCTACTGCCATTTAGTTTCTCCATTTTACAGAAGGGGTTATAATGTTTTCCTCTTATAAAGGCTCTTGCCTGCATTGATTTTTTTTTTTTTGATTTAGTGCCTGAACTAGGAAATATGAAAGATTGTTTCATTTCATCCAAAATGAAATATCTGTTTCATTTTCTGGATTCTTTATTTTTGTGCTTTTCCATAAAAATTAGCTACATTTCTAAACAAAATATTGGTTTGATATGCAAAACTTTGGTTTTGCAAATAGTAAAATGTGAGGCTGCCATCTTTTCAAAAATAATTTCCTTCCATGCTCAGGAGGAGAAAACAACTTGATACATACAGCACGGCTTTGCCAAGGTTTGGTTTAACCAAAGATGATTTGTTTATGGCAAATGAACTACCGTCTGAGAACTTGCCTCGTGTAGCTCCGTTCTCCACTAGCCCTTTTTTGTCTTTTTAGATTTGAAATTCTTTGGGGAGAAGAGACTGACTCTCCGTTTGCACAGGAGAGAGCACTTTGAAGATAAAAATTGTTATAGCAGTGCTAAGTACTGTGTAGCCTCAGAAGAATGTGTTATCAGCTTACAAAGCTACTTTGAAAAGTAGCATACACTCAAAGGCACTGACATCTGTCTGTAAAAAGAAAAAAAAAAGTGTAGGTGGGATTACTGTCTGGTATATAACTTTCTCGCAGACCTTAGCTATATGAAACATACTGCAAGTGAGGCAGAATTTTTCACAGTAACAATTGCTCCCAGCAAAACTTGTTTTTAAGGACTCTGTGGCCATGGCCTGCTGTTGATGCCAGCAGAGCCTGTTCTGGTAGCACAGGGACGCCAAAGCTTTCTACAGTCAGATCGAAAGGACTTCCTCAGGTCGCCGCAGTTCAGACCAGCCTCTACAAAGATATGATTCAGCCGATCAAGTTTTATTAACCAACAACTAATTTTGAGGTGAGTCAATTCTTGCAATCAATTCTGGGATTTTTTTTTTTGGGGGGGGGGGAGTTTCCCAGTGGGTATCGCTACAGCAAACTGAGCTGTCTGCACAGAGTTTCAGAACTGGACAAAAAACTGCATGAGACCCAACAGTTCTATATCATCTTTACAAAGGCAAATAATTTATGGCGTCTGCCTTCCTGGCTAGACTGTCTTTTTAAACTCTTTCAAGGATGTCTGGTATTTCTTTCATCATGGCTCCCATTTTGCTAGGCTGACAAGCGTGAGACCAGCACCAATGGAAGGAATGGAAACATTTACTCATATTTTGGAAGGGTTCCCCCATCCACCCCCTCTCCGTCCCTGCTGACCACATCTATGCCATGGCCAATTTCACAGCCCGCTTACACAGCTTGCTCCACTTCCAGTCCAGTGAGCGCTAGTTTTCAAGTTAGAAAAAAAAAAAAATCTCCTGACTGTATACAGAGCTGTATAAAAAATACTCTCACAAGGGCAAGCTGAGTAATCTGCACTGCCAGCCTGGGCTCCTCAGCCCTGTCCACATGCATACACGACTGCTGATGCTCATCCATTTGAGCCTTCGTAGCACGGCACCAGGGCTCTTCTTCTATGGAGATGGAGTGCACAAAAACACCAAGGCCAGAGTGACTCCCAATCCACAACCAAGGTATGTCCAAGCCATGATGGCAAGACCCTGAGCCTCATGAGGCAACAAGAGGCTGAGCAGCTGGAAAGTCCTTTGAAGTTTCTGGAAATGCTTGAGCACCTGTAGGACTTAAGTCTGGGTGGTGGGTCACCATGAGATCAAAGATCTGGCTGTCCCGGGATCGATTTCAGTCCTGCCAGCTAATGCATATGGTGCCCTAGGGTGTGGGAGCGGATAACCGGGTGTCCCAGTTCTCGTCCGCTCAAGCTCAGAATAAGCCCTCTAAGCTGAGGGAATTTTTCCACCATGGAGTAGAATCCAGCTTGGCCAAGCCATGTGATCAGTCTGCAGAGCAAAGTCCCTCACAGACCAGATGCTGGGATGCAAATGAAAGCCTCCATTCTCTCATGACATCCAAGGCCCTGATCCTGCAAATTCATCTGCACAGGCAAATCTCTCGTCCTGTACTGCTCGAGACCTTGTGATAGCCCAACCCTGCAGATCAGCCACGGGACAGCTCAGGAAGCCGCTGCAGAGAAATGGAAAGTTTCTTCCAGAAAAAAAACAGCTTCGCCACGGCTCTGAACCACTGTCCCACATCTCATGTGAGTAGATAAACTTTAGTTCTTACTCTTACCGTTGAGCCACTCGTGCATCTGCTGAGGGGGTATTCAGCCTAATTAAAGTAGAGGTGTCTCCTATAGCTTTGGAGAACTGCATCTGAACTTAATTGTTCTTTCCACTGCCCCCAAGGGAACCCGGCCTCCTAACTCAGGTATGCGAATGCCTTCCAAAAACGTGCAGATTTTTCCTCCTTCTCATTCCTGCCCAATGGTTGAGCACACCTATAAATAAACACAGTTTCTTTTCACAGCAACACTAGCTAGAGAAGCATCCAGTATGTTAGTCACTCTAAATATGGCCTTTTTTATCAGATCTCTCTGTTACAGATAAAATAAGTCTGGGACAACCTAGAAATCTGCACTGAGGCTCTATTGCAGGTAAGAACTTGGAGTATCACCTTAAAATAGTAGCATGCAACTAGACAAGCTCTGAACTCACTGGCTACCTTGAATACATGGGGTCATCGTGCATCAGCCACAGCTCTGCTTCTATCATATGGGCTGCTGGTAGTATCCCTGCAGCTGCTAAAGTCTTTAGGTATGGAGGAGGACAGTTTATGAAAGGGGACTGTGAGGCAGAGCTTCCTCTGATAGGACATGCCACAGCCTTCCCAGCTCACGATAACTCCAGCTGCCTCCTCACCTCAGAAAGGCTCGGAGGGGAATGGTGTGAATTTACCTACGTAGAACAATGTAGGAAAATTAGCTGTGAAATAAGGACAAACACCCTGAGCCATAAGCTCTCAGCTAGAGTATAAACAGCAGCCAAACAGTTGCTGGTGGTGCTGGTGGTGGTGGTGGTGGTATTATTTTAGTTGCAAAGTGTCCTTTATGAGCAAATCCATATCCTGGAGCAAGACAACAGCTGAACTCAAGCCTGTGAAACACCTCATCCTGGTGACTTGTTTTCTGGGACAACTACAGTAATATTTTTTTGATCTCAGAAGAAAGGACTGAGCATTTCCCTCACCTGGCATGTCTTACCTCTAGGACTTTGTATTTGTTTTCTGTATCTGGAGCAGTTACTCTGGGCAATCTCAGCTTACTTTTAACTCCTCGTGTGCCACAGACAATAGAGGCCTTCACAGCCTCTCGGGGTTGTTCGCTCCCTTTTCCTTTCTGCTTAACAGGAGCTTTCAGAGCTGTCACAGCATCTGTCTAATGACATTGGATTTTCAGAGCGCCACTGCCCACAGATGATGGCTGAACTACCAGCTGCTCTGTTAATCACTTTCTGAACCTAATGCTTTCTTTTATTCTTCCCAATAACATGTAATGTTTATGGGGTGCTTCCCAGCTGCAGAACCCAAAGCACCTTACCGGAGGCCAGTAGCAGTACACCACTTTACCAAAGGGAAACTGCAACACAGAGAAGGTGAAAACCCCAGCCCACGTTGCCAGAATCCCAGTTAAGTACAGGCAACTGTAGGCCATAACGCTTCCTTTTGTCTCAATATCTGATACTGCTACCTCGCAAGGTGACCATATATTCCAGGTTACCATGGGATCTACCCATGCCCCAGAAGACATTTTCAGGATGTCTGAAATGTTCCAGTTCTCCAAAATATATAGGCACAAATTAGGACTTCTCCGTTTGTTTCAGATCTTGTTGCTGTACCACGCTGACTCCATGTGGCACTGGCTGAGGGAAAATTATCCAGGAGAACGAAGGCTCATAGTGGTGGACAGTATTTGGACAGAGAAGCCCAGTGAGCAGTGATGTTCACATCAGACTGGTTTTCTTTACTCAAAGTAGATAGATGTTCATGGCACTTACTGAGCATTTCAAGCTAAATGTATTCAGATATTGAGTTAGCAGGAGGAAAAAAATCACAATTTTGTAAAGTGCACTCAAGCTCCTGTTGGGATGGAAGCTGGGAGTTGTGACACTGAAATGTGATTTAAAGGATTACTTTTAGCTTGTTTGTCTGTGGAAATACCGTTTATGTAATCACAGCCTGTGTGAGTAACTTTTGAACCCAACGATCGCTTTCCACCAAGTATGACAGAGATGAAGTGTTCCCAAAGCTCAGTAGTTCTTCCAAGACTCATAAAATATCCAGGTAGGAGAGAGAGCCCCAAGTGGCAGGGTGGAGACACCCTCAGACAATATTAGACATGAGAGAAGCTAGGCAGACAGACAGACACACACACACACACACACACACACACACACACACACACACACACACATCTTTCAATGCCCCAGCTGATGGGAAATCCTGAATTTGTCCCCATGCCAGAGAATCCAAACAACAGACATGAAGGCTGGAAGTGAGGCTGTTTTGATCCTGCCGCACATTGAATCACTGATCTCCTGGGGAATTTGCCTTTTTAAGGCTGCAACAAAGAAGTCCAATGAATGTGAGGAGGCAGGAAAAGAGCAGCCACATTCCACTCTTTCTGCCCATGTCCTCCCTCACCCCTTCGCAGTTGTCCTTGTCATATGTTTGCCGTGTCCATACTGCAAACACTGCTTCACTTAACCTATGGCTGCTCCGTGTGGACTGCAAAGCAGACATCACAGTGGTAACCCTTGAAAGAGCCGAGCCTTCCTGCGTTAACACCTCAGGACAAGCTAGCAGCATTCTTTGGAGATGCTGTTGAAATGCACCCTGCTGAGGTGGGTAATCTCAAGGGCTGCAGGATTGCCAGAGCCCAGAAGTCCGTCACCTGCTTGCAGAGGAGAACCAGCTCTCCTCGCAGCAGCTGAGGAGAGGGGTGTTATACCAGTCAAGAGGAATTCCTCATGGGTCAAAGCCCCCAGCTTGAACTCCTGTACTTGCCCCTAAAACATCCTCTGCCCCACAGCTCCAGGAGGTGGAAACAAGCCAGCATTGACCCAGCAATAGAAGCACTTCTAAGCCTGCCACAGATTTACTGCACTGGGAGAGGGAGTACTCCAGAGACTTAAGCCCTCCTTCTCCCCTTATTTGTGTCACTGCATGCTCCTATATCGTGGCAACAGTCACGCAGATGTGTCCTGTCCTCTAGTCACATTACAGCTACATTAATTCATGGTGGACCAAAGACACGAGATGCTTTTCTGTGTCCCCTTAGAGCCACCAAGTCAGGAGCTCAAAGTAGAGCCATGTTCCATATACTTCCTTTTGTCTGTAAAACATCAGGATTTACAAAGCACTGAGCATAATAAATAGACCTGTTCTTAGCATGGTGTTTTGTGGCAGTCCTGAGAAGCCAACCAGGTAAGGACCTATTACTCTTGGAGCTGTGGAAATCCTCAGTCAATGGCAGCTTCTGCAGCATAGCACTTGCAGACAGCAGTTTATATGACTCCATCCCTACCTCTCTGCAGGCCACCATCTCGCCAGCTGGTGGGCACTGCTGCTCCCAGATTAGGATTCTTAATTTGGAGAGTTTCTTTTGATATTTTGAATACTACAGCATGATGCTTGTGCGCTCACGGCAGCACACTGTGCTCAGAGAGGATGAAATTCAGCTCCTCTAATCACACCCAGTTTCTCTCTCATGCTTTCTTTTCTTCCTTTCCTGATTCATTTAAATCAACTATGAAAAATGTCACTGGTTTCCAGGAAAAGCAGGGATCTGGCCAAGGCAAAAGTCAACCCTTTAATTTAAAACAGTTGAGGGGGAGACAATTAGGTGAAGCCGCTCAGCTAATGCACAAACAGTTTGTAATTACAGGAGCAGGCTGGGAAAACAGGACCTACCTAGGGAATATTCTTATTAAATAAAGCAGAATTCTGTCACCTTCTTAATCATGAAATATTGATGAAACTGTAAGCAGCCCCTCTGAGGTTTTAGCCTTTGCCCTCTCCTTGTGTGTGTATGTGTCCACATAAAGAAGAAAGGGGGAAGAAAGCCCTTCAAAGCCTAGCCACGTATTTGCAGAATACAAAGCACACTGCTCCATACCGGTAAAATTTGCTGAGGTTGCATGGGCATATGGATTGGGGAAATAAAAATTCTGCACTCGCCACAACTAGGAACTTCTTTCAGACTGATTGTGAGTAATGGAGAGGTGAGGGACAAGTAAGAAAGGCCACATTTAAGGGACACTGCCCTATGACTCTGCAGAGGAAGGGCCAGATTCTGGTGTTCTTGCTCATGGTGAGCCACTCCACAGTGTTTTGGAGGCAGCAGAGGGCTATTGAATCTTCCCCTGGCATTATGAAGCTATAATTGCAGCCTGGATGCTTGTTCCTGGGTCAAACAACAGCTGGCAATAAAAAGCAAACATGGGGACCAGTCCTCACTAGCTAAAGGCCAACCCCGGCAGTGGGAGGTTGGAGGATCTGGAGCTCTGAGCATCCACATCCTCCTCTGAGAACTCTCGGGTCCCAGAGAAAACAACGCCCAAGGCGTTACAGCCTGCGAACGCAAGGGGGATGTACCCAACATTATTAATTGTGCTTGGAAATCTAAGGCTAAACTGCCTGGCCATACCTGGAGACTGCTGGAGCTAGGATGAGAGCCCCAGAGGTCCACGTCTCACACAGTGCGTGAACCTTCACGCTCTCTCTCTGAGCTGCCAAAAACATGTCAGCAGCTCAGTAGAGGAGCAAGTTACCTTCAGTCAGCTGGGTAGCTGGGAGGCAGGTAGCCACTGCACCCCTAACACTGTTTAGCTCGTGTCTGGGCACCGCTGATTTCTACCCTGAATTTATCTGAGGAGCCTCAGCAACAGAAGCTCAGAAAAGCCCTGAGGGGGTAGAGTCAGGGATTATGAATAATGGGTGAAACCAAGAAGCTCAGGAAATGAGAAACAGACAAATTTTCATCCCTTCACACTTCTCTTTGCAGTGGGAAGGGACAGAAACTTTTTTCAAACCAAAATAACCACGTTCAGTTCCACTTCTATGACTCAGTTCTACGGTCCTACCCAAGACAAATAAATGAAGAAAAATGGGAACTTTCCAGAAGAGAGACATTGGAACCACAAGGAAGAACCGGGTGCATCACCAGTAATGAATCCCAAAAAGCAGATGCTCACCTGAGCCCATGACAGTTTTTATGTCTTAAGAGGGGTACAGTTGAATGAGGCTGAGGAGAAAAAAAGTGGATGGGAATGCAGGACTTACTTAGCAGAAGGATTGATCAGGAAAATAAACCTCTACATGAGGTTGTGGGGACTTTTTCAACAGGAAAACATTGCAGTTGGGAGGGGAAAGCCAGGGAGCAGACTTGAGAAAAGGACTGGGGCCAAAGTGGCTGGAAGGCAGAGGAAGGAAGGATCAAAGCACTGGAAGAGGAAGGAGGACAAAGCTGGGGAGGCTGCAATAGCTTAAAGAAGGAGAGATGCATCAAGCAGCAGGGGAGCCTTCTCTCTACCCGCTCTGGTAATGGGGCCTTTGTTCTGCTCCTTTCATGTTCACACACATCCCAGTCCATAAGGGCAGCCGACAGGAGCTGAATCAATCACTCACTGGTCCCAGCGGAGGGCAGGAAGTGATTGATTTGCTCTCCCCGATGGCTGGCTCTGAAAGGACACGCTCTCATTACAATTAGTTTCTGGGTCCCAGTTTGTTACGTCAGTTGAAATCCCGGTCTAAATACTACAAACCCTCCCGCCTTCACTGCAAGCTCAGATTTGGGGCCTCAGCTTCATTTCAACTGTCTGAGAAAGCTATGGGGGAAAAAAAAAAACTACATTTGAAAAAAAAAAAGCCCCCAAACTTTAAAACTTGCTGCTGAAACTTAAAGCTGAGGCTGTGGCCACGGGTGATTTTGCTGCTCGTCCCATGTGTGAGCATTGTTGGAGCTTGCTCCAAATTCCAGTCATGCTTGTCACGGTCCCACAGCCACTCACCAGTTGTTAGGCATGGCCCTTTGTATTCCTAATCACCCCTAAAAAGGCCTCATTTCCTGGGAGATTGCCCGCCCCCCTGGAGTGGTTGTGTCTGCGGGCTTGTGCCAGGAGAGCCTGGAGGACAGTGGAAGGACAGAGAACGGACAGTGGTCTGGTCACTGGAGTGAGAGATGAAGACACTCTGCCAGAGGACGAAAGCCGGGAGATGGGGACAGACAGCTTTTGAATGCACGTTCAGGAGCAGAGAGAGGACAGGGAAGGGCAGCCCCAGCCTCGCTCTGTGGTTTGCTCAGATCTCTACTGCAGGCACCAACGGGTCAAACCAGTCCCGCTGAGCTGCGTTTGTGCTGTGCCTTCTGCAATGGGCCGTCCTGGAAGAGAAGTAAATAAAGTATACAGAAAGGGGAAAGAATCGTCCTCTTCCAAAAGTCTTCCTCTGCTTCAGTTATCTTAAGCACCCCACCGATTCTAGCCACCAGTGCAAAAGGGTATTACTAACTACCAAGGCCATTACAATGACAGATAAACAGACAGTTTATCAGCAGGTTTTAACTGTTCATCATTTTAAATCCTGCTCACCTCTGTGTATATGTATCCTCCAGACAGACTCTTAGTTATAAGTAAATCAGCCTGAGCAATGCTATGTTCTCCTTTAAATGTTACTCCTGGTGCTGTAATGAATTATGCTGCCCTCTGCTCCGTTGCCTTGCTTGCTAAAGCCCACCTGATGGGATGTAACTCAGCGTGACACAGCATAACCACATACAATGGACCAAACACCATGAAAAATGCAGCAGCTTACACAAACCTACTTCAAAAAGCCATGCACAAGGCCAAATCTCCTGCATAACTTGGTTGGAGGAAAGAAAGAATTCCAGAGAGAAAGTAGAAAGCCCCAGAGAGGAGAGTCCCTTGGAGATCCACTAACGCAAAGATGGCAAAAGGTCTGGAAAAACACAAAGTGCACACATACCTAGGAACAGCAAAATATGGTAATCGCAATGAGTTTAAAGCATGTTAGCACCACCAGCAACTGTAACAATTTACTTAGGCCCAGACTCTGTTAGTGCCATCATCTTGCTGAGCAGGTCCTTACATCTATTTTGCTTCATTTTTCAGTTGAGGTTCTGGGTACTGTATGAGGTACCAGTGGGATCCGGCTCTAATGACCAGGACAAAGGCACTCACGGATTTTGGTGCAAGGCGAGTTAGATAAGGGCCAGCGCAGCCCGTATTTCCACAGAGAGCTCTCAGCTTAGCAGCTAATTTGGGGCTGTCTGAACTTCACCTTCAAGCCTTGATATTTTGCTATGCCTTTTCATTAAGGGCATTTGTCTTCTAGAAAGTACAGCATATCTGTAGCACTACATCTTTACAACATAAAGCCCAAAGGGTTTTATATTCTCCAGTGAACGCTTCCAGCTATTCTCAATTCTCTTTAGCAGGAATATCTGCTTCTCCTGGCTGCATACACTGCTCATGTATGCAGCACATTTTCTAGATTCTTTCCACCTTCTACTTCTTTTTACTACAGGTGTGGTCCAACACGAGACCAGACTAAGCTGAGGCAGAGGAAACATTGGAGCCAGGCCGGCTCATCAAGTCTGCAGTAGAAATCTCTTTTGAAGTCAGCAAAGAGCTCTGCACAGACATCAGGATAGCCCTTCGATTTACATAGCTTCAAGCCTACTGTTGACCAATGCAGCATTCAATGGACATCATAATCCTCAAGAAATGAAATCCCTCATTTCACCAAAAATGCAAATTATGATATAATAGTATGATATTAATCAGAATATGATTCTGATTTCTTCTTCTTCTGTATGGCAGGGCACAGTGAGAGTCAGCTGCTCCCTGAGGGATGGAGACCCAAGGTGACCCCAGTGCACGCCATGCCCTCCCCAGTGGAGCGTCGTCCCACGGTGCTGAGCACTGCAGGCAGAGCCGGGAGCCAGTAACATTGTCCATTGACAGCCCCAGACATGGCATGCTGTGACCCAGGTCCAGGGCCATCCAGACAGCCCAGTCAGGAGCAAAAGGAGATGGGTCAGAGAGAGGGCTGGCAACCAGCACTGCTACAGCATCATGACGCAGGGACTGAAGTCCTGGGCTGAGCTGAAATGGGGCTCCTGAGGCCATTGGATGTGGGGGAAGGTCCCAGGTGAGGCACGTCAGGGCCATTAAACCCTCAGGGCCCTGACAATGTCGTCCCTACTAGGCACACTACAGAAGACAAAGCCAGCACTAGTCATTTCTCTATGAGAACTCAGGAATCTCTACTTCCAGATGGGATCTCCTAGGCTAAAGGAAATTTCCATCTTGTAATCTGAGCTATCACCAACACACAACAAGACACAGAAAAATGAAAAGGTGCAGGTGTGAGTTAAAGAGGAAGGGAAGCAAGGAACAGAGGTTCAGCTCAAGAAAAATACTCAGGTACATCAACGGACCATCCATCACGGTCAGCCACCTCAGGCGAAATTCAAAAGATCTTCCTCACTCAGAAACTGAGTGTGGTTCTCGAAACCAGGTATCAAAGAAGACCTAAGCAGCATCTGAGGATGCAGCGAAGACAGAGCCTTCTCTGCTTGACTGTCCCTGCTTCATCTTGATTCTTCTGCTCTTTCTTTGCTGGGTTAGTCTGACAGATTTGTTCAGAACAGCAGCACACATCACAGTAAACAGTTGTCTGAAGTTATCACTTGCAGCCATAGATTTTCAACTGTCATCAACGGACTTTTCTGTCCTGATTCTCTGCCTGCTCAGTCCTGACTTCAGTAGACCTCATCTGGTTTGCATCAGCTCAGAATCAGGCTCTCCAAGCTCTGCTGTTATTTATGTTAGCTCAGTACCCACAATAACCTCTGGGAACAGGTCCCAGTGTACCAAGCTCTGTAGAAACGTGGAAAGAGAGACAGTATTTGCCCCAAGGAGCTTACAGGTGCCAGAAGTGAAACAGTGAAAGACACGCCGCGAAAGAAAGATGTCTGATTGAACATGGCATAATGTTGCAGGTTGGATGTCTGAATGCCACAGAAGGATTATGCTATACAGCACTGCTTAGATTTGTGTTTCCATCCTAATGTACTAAACCCTTCTAAGGTTAAGCTCAGCCAATTTAGGAATACAAATAATCTCAAAAAGTCCCATTTTGGAAGCCTCCATTCCTTAGGAAACCAGTGACAGCATGATGATGTTGCTCTAAATTCACCTCCGGGCAAACCAGGCTTAATCACTGCTGTGAAATTGTTGCCTTCTTTCCTGCCTCTCTCGTACCTTTCCTGCCTGCTCTCCATTTGACACTTTTCACTGTGACAGTCATCAGCCAGTGTGTAATATAATCAAAAGACTGCTTCTGGCTTAAAGCAGCTCCAGCAAGAATTCTTCACAGCAAACTACATTAAAATGCAACCCCTGTCCTGTACCTTCCCCTATGTAACTCTCTGCTCCTTTCCTCCACTCCATGCTTTGGGTTTAGGAGGTATCGTTTTGTTTGTTTGTTTGTTGTAGTTGTTGTCATTGTTTTTATACTATCATATTATCCCATGTTGCAATTGTAAAACCACATTATAAAAGCAGGCAATATTGAACTAATTTTATCACAGGGCTAGTAATAAAGTTTAACACCAACCATAATATTGTTGTACATCAGAAATATTGCAACAGAACAGTAATATCCTGTTAAATTCATTTTCCATCCTACACCGTAAGATCTGTTGAAAGATGTTAAGGGTGAAGGGTTTGTGAATTTTTTTTCTTTTTTGCTTTATTTTTGTGAAGCACCATAAATGTTTAAATTTCATTAAAAAATACATCAGAAGTTTGGCAGTAATCATCCTGGTGACACATCTAATGCCTTCACTGTCTGAAAAGTAATGGGTGGCCAGTAGCTACCCTGCAAAGCAATATACATCATTAGAACCAGCTCATAGAAAGGAAGAGGCGGTTTTAACGTGGCCCCATTACTGCAGTATCTCGGTCCCTCATAATGCTTAATATATTTATTCTTAGTCACCCCAGGGAATTAGATGCAATTATCCTTATGTCCTGGGCAGGGAAATGAGTAAAATGTTAAGCAGCTGGCCCCAGGTGACACAAAGAGTTTTATGGTTCTTCATGGATCTGATTCAGGGTCCTTGGTTCAGCTGCTAGGCTATCTGTTCCTTCTGTGGGAGGAGAACAACGAAGACTAAATGTTTTTTGTTACAATGGTCCGTGTCTGAAAATGCTCGCCACTTTCTGCTGCCTCCGAGGAAGGCCTTACATACCTGTAGGAACACACAGGATTAATTAAAAGCATTCTTTCAAACCAATTAACTTAAACTGGTACAAACCCCTGTGTAGACACTCTCAGTGGATTTAAACTTAATTTTTTTTAATTCAGTTTAACTTGAGGCTGTACATTTGCCAACTGTCTACCTAGCATCTTTCACATGTTTTCAACAGCTTCTGTTTTTAAGCTAATTCTAATTAAATTCAAGCCCTCTATGTGGTCAAAACCCAAAGGATCTGGAGAAAGACAGGCAGAGCTGTTAGGAAGGGGAGCGCAAGTCAGTTCAAGACAATACCAAGCACCACAGCACAGATTTTGACAGGTGCCCACTGTTCTAGGTTCTCTGTAGGTTGAACATCAACCCTGTCCTGAAGAACTTATGTTCTCCATGGAAATTAGTCTAGAAGCTAACGACTGTAGTAGTCCATAGAAAGGAAAAGTGAGATACTGAAAACATGAGTGATGGTGTGCAGGTTCCTACGGAAAATCAAGAGCAAACCAGGAAGAGACTCCGTGTGTCCTGACAGCCGGTGCTGTCAGCTCCCTGCCTTCTCCTAGAGCAGGTCCCAGATGTGAGGGCTCAACGTGGCCTGGGGAAGCCTTTCAGTGCTGAGCTTTTCAAGGCAATACCCCATGGGAAGCACAATACAAAAGCTCTTCTGGCACGACACCAACCCAAAAGGCGCAGCATTCATGGGAACTGTTCATGTCTCTAAATAAGCAAAAAGCCTTAAGCAATGGAAAACTGTAGATATGATAGGCCCTCACTAGATCTAACTACATATGATACACATTGTACACGACACCTCAGTAAATATTTTTAAACATGTTCTGACCTCATTAAGAACAAATTGGAGGATAAAATGCCACTTGTCCATAAAGCTATGCTCTTTTTAAAAGATCCTTCAGTGTCCTCTTATTTGTTAATACATGTGCCAAGCAGAAGGTTGGAAGGTTGGAAGACTCAATCCCTTCTGATGTCTACACCACTCTTCTCCTTATCGCAACTAGCTCAAGAATGCTAATATTCCCAGAAGTTTTCTTTTGTGGATTTGAGGCTGCCTTTGCTCCTCCTAGCTGAGCCTGCGCTTTGAGTTGTCAAAGCCTTTTATATTCTTGCAACGGTGACTGTCCCTCACTGCTGCAGATCTTCTCTCTAACTGAGATCACATCCCTGAGGGGGAAAATGTCTTGGTCAAACACTCAGTGCACTTATCCCTTCATACATGGCCATTCTTGTTAACATGGAACAGCAGTGGTAGCACAGCCAGTTTCAGAAAGGCTCTCTACTCAATTCACAAGCATTGTCTTCAGACTATATCCTCCAAATATCTTTAAAACCTGCTGTTCTGCAACCTGAGGACATTTGTGCTGTGATAATGATTAATTTCAGCTTTGGAAGTGCACAAGGAATAGACTCCAGGACAGGAACGTGTGTGTGTGTATAAACATGAAAGCCACTACCAATAGTCCAGTATGCCCTGATACTCTAAATATCTTTGTATTTTTAATAGGAACTGTAGCCTTCACAGGAGCTTCTCTTCAAATCATAGATTGAGATTGAAAGGAAAAAAAAATTACCTGACATTCCACTGTGAGAAGCTTTGCATTATTAATTTATTTCTCTAGCAACTAGGCATCTTGTCATGGAGCAATTTAAAAGGAGAAAAGAAAGGCCTTAAGGATCTGCAGAAAGCTGGAGGGAAGGGGAGAATCGGAAGACAAAGTCACAGCAACCAGGAGAAAAACAGATTTCAAGGTATCAGCATAACAGAGGAAGGATTTCTCATGGCCATTCTCCAATAGCAGCTGGGGAATATTAGAGAGCCGGCAAGCCAGATAAGCAGATATGAGCCAAATAGAAGCTTCCTTGCAAGTGGAGAGTAGGAGGCAGCAGGGCAGCACAGCTGTGAAAGCTTCCAGGTGGACTCTGGGAAGGTGGTGGAGAATGAACTGTCTTCAGCATCTGAGTCAAGATGTAGTGGCAGGACTCTCCCACTGAGTAACAGGTCAAGTCAGTTTTTCTAAAAATCTATTTCTTTTTTCTTTGGTTACCAGCAGAAAGCTTCTAAGTTGTCTTGACAGTATGTCCTCTTCTTCATCCTCCAACTGCAAACCCATGCTCTACGCCTTCACTTCTTCCTGACCTTCTTTTCTGTTTGCTATCTTGCTTTCTTCTGACCATGACTTTGACTAGATGGTGCCTTAAGCCTCGGGTAGCTCTTTTTTAGGTGATGTTGGCTACCTTGCCTTTAGCACATTGCATGTAAAAAAGCCTTAAAAGAGGCAAAGGAATGTTACAAATAAGAAAAAAAAAATCCCTAATCAATCTAAGGTCCTGCTGTTCTCACTAGCTCTGGTAGCAACGGTGGAAGTAATGTACACGGATCCCGCATAGATGCGGCACTGAGTTTTCTACACTAATATCCTGTCAAGAGAATCTAGAACTTAATTTATTGTGCATGTTTGCCAAGCTGTCTTTGGGGACATCCATGATGATTCTGTTTTTAATCTGGCAACAAAAGAGGACAAAGGTGCAGTGATGTGAAGAAAGATACATTAGCTGTCAGAACACGGGTAACATATCTTGCTAACATACTCCATTCCATTTTCCCCCAATGGCTCGGAGCAGTGTTTTCCTTTTAAAAGTATCCTATCACCTCTGACAGATGGATTAAGGCTTAAAAGCATCAATATTTTGGGAAAGTGGTACCTGCAAGCAAGGCAGATAGAGGTTTGTCATTCAAGAGGTTTTGTATTTCCTGTTAGGTCCTTTCCTTGGAAAGCAGCAACTATTTATTTTAAACTTTATCCATTGGTAGAGTTTTTTCTTTTCCCTCTCTCTTTCTTTTTTTTTCTCTTGTTTTGATTTCGGCGATGGACACCTCATCTGTCAGCAGTGAGTGGGGGAAAGTGGGAGCATTTTTCCCTGGCTGTTCTGACCAGTTGGCACTAAACAACTGCCACTGCTCTTGCTCAAAGTGGATTACCAAAAGGTTACTGCAAGCTTTTACAACACCCATAATGGTGTGACCAAGGGGGTAGATGAAAAAAGGACCAATGCCATCCCAGAAGCAGAATTCAAGATTTCTAATAACTTCAGTTCTCTGAAATGAAAGACTGAATCAGTCATGTTGTTTGTATTCCCCATTGTACTTCTGATGGGCTGTTTTGCTTATCTGGCATATTGTCTCAGATGCATCCCACCTAATAGTAGGCAGAGAAGCTGAATGTCATTATCTGGGCTGCAGTTACAGTCACTGAAAAGAGAGAGACACCCTGGGAGGGGGATTCACATCTGAGGAGGGTGAATCATGCTCTCAAGATGCCAGTGTTTCTCCATTTCTCAAGATGCTGCTGGCACAAACAGCAGTAAGTCAGTACAATGAGGCTTCTAATTTAGGAGCCTTGGTTAAAAGCCTGAAGTTTGATGGGTGAATCTAGACGGTGTCAGATCTCCCTTTCATCATATTTGCAGCTTGAGAGAAAGAAAGATATCAAAGCCGTTTCACCCCTTTGCCACACAGGACCCTTGTGAAGGGAGGCAGGCAGCAGAGTAAAGGGAAAGCGAGGAAAGAGGAATAAAGAGAAGCATGGGGGTTTCTAAGGGAAAGTGATGAAATCTCTCTTGCTATCGCCTTATGGCTTTGTGAGCTGAGTTGCATGGCTTCTTGTCTATGCCACCTCCACAGCCAGAAGGCTGCTGCCTTATTTGATTCTGGCCCAAAGCTCAGGCGGGGAGCACAGCTGAGCATTTGCACACAGTTTCCATCTGCTCCCCGGCTAGTCCTCCCCAAAGTAGTGCAAAGTGAGTGGCTGCTATCTTGGGAAGGACAGGACTAGGCTGGTCAGCGACTTCTGCCCAAAGATGCAGGAAGGTCGAATATATTCACCAGAAAGGTATTTCTGTAAAAATGTCAGGAACTCCTGTGCAGTTCTGGAAGAGAAATTCCCCTCCTAGAGTCTCCTTGATGAGCAACGTTTTCTCATTCCCAAGTGCTAAGTGCAAAGAGTTAAAGGAACTGGAAAGTTACAAGGGCTCAAAAAGTTTTGCAAAACAAAAGCCAAGTGAAGAAACCAAGCCTTGACCAGGTCAGCAAAGTGACCTCATTTGAAGACCACAGCTCTAGGATGTTCTGGTATCACTCTCCACAGTAGTCTTCCCTCAGTCTTGAGAAGCTGATGGGGCAATGTGATCCCCTAGCTACTTCCACCCTGGCCTTAGCTCCAGCCCCATCTCTGCAGGACACTGTAGATGCAGCGGCTCCACACTCGCACCATCTGAAGTAACGAAGGGCCTTTCTCAGAGAGCAGCTTTTTGGTTGCTCCTCTCTGCAGCCGTCACTGGAGTCTGAGCCCTGTCATTTCCTCAGAGCTGCCCAAGCACCGCAACCAACATACTCCCTGCCGTGCTG